AACACACATTGATGCACAGAACTCGTGGAAAGTTGACCCTTTTCCCAATTTTTTTTTTTTTTTTTTTGTTTAACAAAGTTTAAAATAATCGAGATAGAATATTATTTTTATGAAGGATTCCAATCTTAACATGAAGGCTCTGATACCAATTGTTAATATTTATTTGTAATCATGCCAAGAATCAAGAATCACTACGTAATAAATTAATAAAACGAATTCATACCTGCGGAAGCCATTGTTGATATGAATAATTGTTGTAATAGCAGCCAAGATCTTCCCCTCCTTACTCCTCACAAAAGTATTAGCTATTAATGGGACAAGCCAATAAAAATATATGGAGAGGAGAGGGGACCTAACCTTTATATATAGGAAATAATTTGAGTCGTTCCATTACGACTAGAATTCTAATTAAGGTTTATTTCCGGCCCACATACTTTAAACTACCACATAAAATTAATTACAACCCATAAGGTGTAAAAGACCCAATTGATCACTTAATAAATTTGGCCCAAACACAAATATCATTATGAGCCATACATCTAACCTGTAAAATTTGCAATCCAATGTGAAGCCCACATATGAAATAATTAATTATTCCAACATTACACACAATGACAGGGCCATATTAGACATTGCATGTCTTCTTTTTAATTAAAAGGTAATACAAAAATTTGCCCTTTTCCCAATTTTTTTTTTTTTTTTTTTTGATATAGTGTTTAACAAAGTTTAAAATAATCGAGATAGAATATTATTTTTATGAAGGATTCCGATCTTAACATGAAGGCTCTGATACCAATTGTTAATATTTATTTGTAATCATGCCAAGAATCAAGAATCACCACGTAATAAATTAATAAAACGAATTCATACCTGCGGAAGCCATTGTTGATATGAATAATTGTTGTAATAGCAGTCAAGATCTTCCCCTCCTTACTCCTCACAAAAGTATTAGCTATCAATGGGACAAGCCAATAAAAATATATGGAGAGGAGAGGGGACCTAACCTTTATATATAGGAAATAATTTTAGTCGTTCCATTACGACTAGAATTCTAATTAAGGTTTATTTCCAGCCCACATACTTTAAACTACCACATAAAATTAATTACAACCCATAAGGTGTAAAAGACCCAATTGATCACTTAATAAATTTGGCCCAAACACAAATATCATTATGAGCCATACATCTAACCTGTAAAATTTGCAATCCAATGTGAAGCCCACATATGAAATAATTAATTATTCCAACATTACACACAATGACAGGGCCATATTAGACATTGCATGTCTTCTTTTTAATTAAAAGGTAATACAACATGTATCTTTCATATGACAACCTTAATCTATATCTAATTCAAAAAAGTAAAAAAAAGTAAGATCTGAATATAGTTCCTATAATACATTAAACTTATGTAAAATGTTCTATTAAAAAAATTAAATTAGTTGGTGTGTAATCTTCTTATTAAAAAGTGGAATGAGTGTGTTACTTTTTTAATTCAGTACCTTAATTCAAATTCAAGACATAAAAGTATTACATATATGTGTTAACATCTAGATTTGAATTTTTATAGCAATGTGTAAAAAATAGTATCGTTAATAGTTATTATTTTGATTGAGTGAATATTACATTTTAACAACACTATTTTTCATTTTCTTAAAGTGTTACGTCATCTCTCTAATTGATCCAAAGTTGAATTTTGATATATATAAACTCAATCAAATTGATCGAAATATCAATTAAATGTTGTGAAAATTACAAGCAGCCAGTGTTTTAAACTTTCCAATTCAAAATTAAGATTTACAATTTTTTTTTCCAAAAATCAAAAGCGAATTAAAATTTTAATAATTTAATTTTTTTTAAAAAATTAAATTAAAACACAATAGGAATCCTCATTCCAACTCCCATGCAACAAAACCTAAGGGGGATGTAATCAATTGAGATTTTTAATGATTTTTTTGATATTTAAAAAGTTTAGGGGTATTCAATTGAAATCTTTTAAGACTCTCTAAAAGTATTGATATATTTAATTGAGACTTTTATAAATTTTAAAAAAGTCTCAAAAATTACGGTATATTCAATTAAATTTTTTTAGAAGTCTCTATAAGTTTTGAGGTATATACATTTTAATGCCTTCTAAAGACTTTTATAAAATCTCTGGAGTACTAATTTTTAAACAGAAAGTACTCATATAAAATTTTCAAATTTGTCTCTCATTAATCGCGAAATTTTAGAATACTTTCACCAAAAAAAAAAAATTTATTTTTTTTCCAATCTTTCTTTCATTTTACCTTCTACTAACAGATATGATTAAAATTTATTTACTTTTCTATTGATTATATTTATTTTCATTTATCTTTCTCTCTCTCTCTTATTGTTTTTCTATATTTTCTATAAAAAAAATTAAATTGGATTATTGTAACTTTTTTTTTCTTTTTTCATTCATTTTTTGGTGGAAGAATATCTACTTCTTATTGAATTATAAAATTTTATAAGAAAAATTATAATTAAATTTAAATATATTATTTTTATTTATTTTTAAAAGTCTATTATATTAATAATATTGAGTATTAAATTTATTGTTTATGATATATGTGTATAATTTTTATTATTATTTATTTAATTAAGGTCTTAAATTTTTATTCTTTTAAATTTTTTTTATTATATGGGGAAAAAAGGGAATGAAAAAGGGAATTGTGGGATCGGATGTAAGAATTTCATACTATTATATTAGATCCACGTGAATTCTATTTCAAATAAAAAATTTTAAAAGTCTTTTGAATTTACAAAAGTCTATAAAAATTTTAAAATGAAAGTCCATAAAAATCTACAAAAGAGTTTCACTAATTTCAGACAAATCTACAAAAGACCCACGAAATTTACAAAAGTCATCGCTTTAAAAAAATATATCAAAATCTTCAAAAATAAAGTATATCAAAATTTTCAATAGCCCCAATTGAATACACCTCCTTAAATTTCTCTCTTGTCTACATCTTTCTATATTCTTTGTCCATCTCGCTACCCACCCACTCTCTATTCCGTCCGACAGATCGATCATCGTCACATGGAAAGGTGGCTCTCCTATTGATTGACCGAGTGAAAGGTGGTACAATGGCTCTTTTGCGCGAAGAGCCCCAAAACAAGTTTCTAGTGGTGTGAAAATAGTTTTCCACGTGAGGACCCTCCACCGACCTCCGATCATCACGGCGATGCTCTTCGCTGTCCGTCAGCAATTCACAAATCTCATATCACCACTGTAGCATTAGGATTCATCCGACTAAAGTAGAAATAGAGTAAAATGCACTAAAACCATTGTTGATTTGTGTTTTGCAATTGTTGGTGGCGGTTTGGTGGTGATGGTGGTAAGGTGGGGTTGGTTGTGGGTGTTAGTTTGATTGAAATGGCGGACATGGTTTGAAGACACTGCTGCTCATGAGAGAAAATTTGTTGTTGATGTTGGTATTGGTGGTGGCAACGACAGTGATTGATACAGATTCAGATCCTGCTGCAGTTGGTGGTGTTTGTAGTGTGGTGGTTTTTGCAGTTAGTGGTGTTTGGTGGTGGTTGTGTAGTGATTTTGGGTAGTTTTGGTGGTGGTGATGGTGCTGGCTATGGTCGCTGCCGTCTTGATGGTTGTGAAGTGGTGGTGGTTTTGGTGTTGTTGCTATCGGGAGGTTGTGGTGGTGATTTTGACGACGGTGGTGTTGACAACGATGCAACTGGAGGCGTCAATGTCACAAATTTTTTGGTTGATTGAAATTGGTTAACGTATGACCAATAAGCAATATGTAACAAATGCAATAGATAAGCTATGATCAATGAATAATGTGACCTAAAATTTTGTTAATTTGTGACCAATAATTTGTAATTGTGTAATAAATTTTGACTTATAAAATTTGTGAGTTGTGATTGATAAAAAAAATGTGGAATATAAATTTTTTGATTTGTGATCGATGAACAAAATGTAATCTATAAAATTTTTGATTTGTGACGTGAAATAACGTGATCTATAAAAAAAATTTATTTTTGATCGAGAAATAAATTATGATCAAGTGATAATTGTGATCAAATTGTATAGAATTGTCACCCCAACATATTTAATTTATAAAATATATTTTTAATTAATTATTTCAGTTTAATTAATATTTGATTTTTGAAGTTTTAAACCATGTTTTTTAATTTTGAAAAGAGAGATAATCTTTTAGATATAAAATTTTCCCTTAAATGTTTACTAAGCCAGAATCATTAATCCAAAGATGAATTTTCATATGTACTAACACAAACAAAAATATCAAATTCATAGTTAAAATATATACCAGCATATCCAAACGTGTTAAAAAATCTGTGAAATTAGTTAATAATTGATTTCATTTTACTGAATAATTATGAAATCTCTAATATGCTCATAAGAAAACTCAAGCTACTAAGTGCTTAATCAGGAAATAGAACATCAAGCTCGATCTTCGTGTGTTGGATTTAACTCAAATGTCTATGGTTATATCATGTGGCGTCGAAGTTTCATCAATGAAACCAAAGTTAGAAATTTACATTACTTGTTAATTTACCTCTTCACTGATATAAAAAAAAAAAACTGTGATATGATATCGGGAAAGAAGACTGGAGAGAGAGCACTGAGAAGAAGGAAAACACAGAGCATCGAGGGGCAAAGCAGCTCGTCTTGGTCCACCTTTAGGGCGTTCAGGTCATATGGGCCCAGCACAAACTGCACGCACAGCCGGGCAGGCCACCGAGCTCAATAGTATGTGGAAAAAAATAAAAATAAAAAAAGACGTAAGTGGACTGCAACCCTGGCCTAAGCCAAATTTACATCCCGAGGGATAGAAGAGACTAGGTTTGTCGAAAGCTGATTATTGATTAAAGAACTTAAGGTGCCTAGGTTTTTCATGGTAAGAAAGGATAGAGAAAATTCCTCGAGCCAATGTTCGAAAACCGGCGCAACGGCAATAAAGTAACCCACGTCATACTCCTAGAAAAAGTTCGAATGAACTTTAAACATCAGGGTACCAAACAATGCTCTTTTATTTAACTACTCAAATATTTACAAGGTGGTTTTCTTGATTCATGATACATTTAAGCACACATGATGTCTTCAATGCCACAAAACCCACCATAAAGGTTTCACTTCAAAACTTCGGACTCAATTTCTTCCAAGCTCAAGCCTTTGGTCTCAGGAACATAGACAATCACAAACAAAAGAGAGAGCAGAGCGATTGCGCCAAATAGAAGAAAAAGATTTTCTGCTCCAAGCAACTCCTGCAGCACAAATGGAAGACGATAGCATAATTCTTCACGACAACATACTACATATCCTGAATTAAGAATGTGATAAATGGTGAAATTGTAGTGGAGGTCTCCAACCTATGACCTCTGCAGCAACTAGCAAGTTTGTCCTGACCTTTCATTTGAGAAATTTTAATTTTTAACGTTTCAAGTTGGTGTCTTTCCAATCTTAGTGGATGGTTTTCGTCCTCTTAAAAAGGGCACGTGCAAGGTATGTGGATATGGAGCAAGGGTCAAAATGGTTAAAACACAGATAATTTTAATAAGAAATGAATAAAAGAAGGGAATATGTCATCCCCTCCAAACATCCCACTTTTAAAACCACCCCCACCCCTGGGACCCCAAGTAAAATGCACAGATTCCATTCATTGAGAATACTTGTGTAACAAAAAATTATGGTAGAGGACTAAAATGCTAATAGTCGAGCCAATTTGCTAAAGAGGCCATAGATGAGGAGCAATCTTGTATTTTTACTACTATATGCACATGATATGATGGGGATGGGGAACCGGGGGGACGGGGGGAGTAATATCATTGGTACCTTAAGTGGTGAGAAAGCAAAGGTCACTATGGCATTCGAGCCAAAATTCGTAAGCACTGCAAGACTAATGCCCTTTCCTCTTGTGCGAAGTGGGAATATCTCTGATACCATAAGCCAACTAATAGGTCCAAACGATATCTAAAACGACAAGCAAAAGAAAATTTGAGTAGTCTAACATATATTAGGTTAGGAATCGACTACATTTAGAGAACAGAAATCCTGATACTTCTCTAGAGTCAGATAATCCAAAATATAACCAGAGTGAATCGACATTAAAATACCTTTCATATAACAGCATACGTTAGTAGGCTAGATTACTAGTTACCTGATAGCAGCCCACATAGAGAAGTAGAGCAGCTACAGCAACAAAAGGAAATCCTCCAAGAAATTTGTAATAGGCAGAAAGAAGCACCAGAGAGAGAGCCTGTGACCGTAAAATACAAAATAAGAAGTATTTTCCCTTTATTTTGAACCATTAATAGGAAATGTTCTTCACATGAAACCTTTTGGAATTATGAAACAAATACTAAATCAATAAGGGTGCGCTGTTACATACAATCCCGCTGACACCTCCAATCAGCAAGGGTCGTCTCCCAAGATCGTCAACCTTTAGGACAGCTATTCCGGTCATCAGCAACTGCAGGACATAAACACTCATGAAAAATATATCATAGATGAGAATGTGTCCCTTTTAATGGAGGTTTAATTCCTCTAGTGTTGGAAATCAACCTATATGAGACTAACGTTGAACCACTCCGTCTAAAAGCTTAAGCTATTAGAGAAGGGAACATATATTCATTAATTTTGACTTCAACGTGGCCCTCCCATGTGCAAGTAGGGTTCTTTTTATTTATTTTATCATAGGCCTGACACATGCATAATTTCCAGAAATGTGTGATGGTGAGACTCAAAGATAAAATCCTTGCATGATTACCGTTGATCCACCTTGTCTAAAAGCTTGAGCTATTTAGAGATGGAATATTTGCTTAAATTTTGTCTTCACCAATTTAATTTTTCAATTTTTCCAGGGTGGAGTATCACAATTACCTTAAAAATGCCAACGATGACCGAAACTTTTGTAGCATCAGCAGCCGCAGAGAATCCAGCAGTCTCAGAGAGAAAATATTGGAATCAAGAACCATAAATTCAAGAAAAAGCTGAGAAGTTTGAATTTGAACATATTCAAAGAAGTCTACTTTATACGTACGAAATACCTGAAGAATCGAACCAGCATAATACAGAACACTAGGCTGCCCAGTTATCTGATATTTTCACACGGTCAACTCGTGCACTTTCATCAAAAAACAAGAAGACAAAACAGCTAAGAAAAGTCAGTTACAAAATTAACCTGTTGAAAAAGTACCAATCCTCCACCAATTATAAGTGCTTTCAAACTAGGCCCCCGGAACACCTCTAGAAAACTTCCTTCCGACTCCTGATCAGTATATGCAGATTTCAGTGAGACAATGGTATCTTCAATTTGCTTTTCAGAGACTTTGTCGCCAGTCGACCAGCCTCTTAGCCTTTGTAAAGCAATGATGGCCTTCTCTTTGTATTCTTGCAAGGGCCCTTTACCTTGAACAGCCCTAAGAAGTAACCATCGTGGGGATGGCGGGAGACTCAACATACCTAACCCCATAACTAAGGCAATAGGAGCACTGACTCCATACATGTAACGCCATCCTCCAACAGCATTAATTTCATAACTACCAACAAAATAACCCAACTGCATAAAAAACATTATTTGACGTTAAATTTATGTTTCAAAGAACATATGACAAAAACCTATTGATCTCAAGAAAATAGATTTACCAATATACCCAGAACTATGAAGAGCTCCTTTAGAGATATCAAAGTTCCCCGAATTTGAGAGGGACAAGTCTCTGCTATATAGAGAGGTGCCCCATGCATGGCCTGCCAAACCAAATTGATCAGAAATTGATGATCATTGTGGATCTAACCCTAAACCAGATACAGGAAGAGAAATACAGAAAGCATACCACACCAATACCAAGACCATATAGAAGCCGACCTACTAAGAGAACCCCGAGACCAGGAGCATAAGCCGTCAACAAACCACCAAATACGTAGAAGACAGATGCAGTGATAAGTTCTCTCCTCCTTCCTTCATATATTGATCAAGCAAAATACTTTAACCGTAGGTATTGTGAAATTAAGAACTTAGAATATTATAACTAGGCAAAAGAGCGTACCAAGGAAATCTGAAATTGGGTAAACAATGAGGGAACCGAGAAGAGCTCCATAAAGGGAACCGCTAACCTTCATTGAGGGAAAATTTGACGACAATCAGTTGATAAATTATGGCTGCTTATTAGGTATCAGCAAATGCAATAATAATATAAAGCTCACCACTAGACCGAGTTCAATGGCTGAAAGATTGAACCAATTTGTGCCACTAAGGTCAGGTGACTATAAAAATAAACAGTGAGACATTTAAAATTTTCAATATGCGTTTTAAGGAATTGATAAATTAGTAGTTATCAGTAAAAATACTACAAAACGAAGCACACACTGAGAATGCTACCTGCAATGAGATGGTAGCTCCAGACGTTGCACCAATGTCATAGCCAAATAACAAACCGCCCAAGGCAGGGAACAGAAATCTGACATTTATTATACAAATCGCTACAGACACAGATGACTAAATTACATGTGAACCAAAGTATTTAAAGAACAGAAAACTCCCGGCCTGAAGAACTCTTAGGACCTAACTAAATGTTACCCTCTTAAAAGGAAAGAGAAAGAAATGTTAGGTGTTCAATGTGATCCAATCTCATGGGCAAAATGCTATAGCACAAAGAGAGTGCAAATAATTTGTAGCAAATCTAGAAGTCGAAAAACTATAAAGACATATATTAAAAATTTCAGACTTAATAATGTAATAAGACTCTCTTTCAGCCTTTGGAAAGTAAATTAAGCTAAAATTTCAAACCTAAACATCAGTGATGATCTCTTATCAGCAGATGACCTCATATATTTTGCTTTAAGGAGCAAAATCTGTATTCAGTAATAAAATTTTCAAAAACGAAAACTTCTTTTATTATTCCTCTTAGGCCTTCCAAGTGCATCTCGAAACATCAATCAATTTGAAAATGCATGTGTCTTATAGCGCATCAATACGGGTATATAACTATGTTGCCAAGAAAATTGGCAGACCAAAATGCATGCTACAACATTATGCGCAGCAATACAAGCTACTGTTTTCAATTCAATTTCAACTGTTAAAGAGGGTAATGTTATGAATGTGTGTTTCCTTGTAACTTTGATACTACCACAAGCCCAAGGCCATCAATGTGAAAAAGTCGAAGGTTTCGTTTACTTCTGCACCCTGATATTACATCAGGCAGAACTTAGTTTCCACACATGCTAGAAATTTGCAACAAAGTACAACCCAAATTACGAAAACCGTTCATGGGAAGAACCACTTAATCAAACTGAAAACCTTTTCAAAACTCCATTATCAAAAGATACAGTGCCTAACCAAACCCCACCGGAGATCATTTTAAAGTCCTGAATCCCTTCAAACTCTACCCATAGTCCAACAAAAAGGGGGTCCTTTCACTGTTCTTCCAGTATCGTGTGCTTGTACAGAATAAAAGAAAATTCCATCAATTTTTACAGAAGAGTAGATTTAAATAATGGGATGCAGAATTCAAAAAACTCACGGCAAAATAACAGAAGACCAAGCAAAAACCTCTTGAGGTGCCCTTTCAGAATCAAACGATTTAGCTTCTCCAGAAGAAGCTCCCACCTTTCAATAAGAAGAAAAATAACTTCTATGAATTTAAACCCTTCAATCTTTATCGTCTTAATCCAAATTAAAACACTAAAATTCTAGACATTTACCTGTGATTTGAATCTGCCACTGGACAACAATCCCATTTTCAATTTTTCATCATTAGGCAAAAATAAGTAGCTTTTCGAACATGGGATAGGGCTATTACGTATTTTCTTAATAAGGTGGAGTGGTTGCGAATTCTTGGTATGAACTAGTGGTGATTTCGTTCTTGAGAGTTTGGGATAAAACAAAGGTTGAGCAGAAATTAGAGACATTCTTGAAACAATATAGACAGGGAAAACAAATTATTCATTTACGGGTACTTTCTAGTTGTTGATTGCAGCTTTTTACGTTCCAAATTTTGTGGTGAATAGTGATACACTGATATGCGCGTTGGGGGTAGTTAAGGCAGTAATAAATTAGAGTGAGCAAATTATACTCGATTTAATTGACAGTAATATAGATATTTCCTTTATTGTTAAGAGTTACTAATTTCAACACGAGCCCATGGTTTTGTAATAATATAATTAATATTTTACAAGATAATTTCTTCTTTTTAATATTTAAGTAATAAAAATTATTATTATTATTATTATTATTATTATTATTATTATCATTTGTCGCATTCTATTTTACCATTTTGTATTTATATTACCTTTAAAATTAGAGAAAATGGTTAATAGCCAAAAAAAAAACCCCCACAAACTTATCAACATATGAAATACCTTCCTACTTATTGAAAATAGCAGAAAATCCCATATTTGAAACATTTTGCCCAAAAAAACCCCATGTCAACAAGATCCATCAGATTTATCTTTAAAAGTAGTAAAAAATGCCAAAACTAAAAAGGAATGATTACAATTTCAATATCGAAACTTTTTATTTATCTAGCCCCCATTAGTAGCAATTTTTCATCCAAAAAAATCAAAATGTTAACCGTTATTTCATTATTTCAACTGTCATTTTTACTTCTTGACTAACAGGGAAGACCCACTTTTCTCTTCAACGGACAAAAAATCAATTATCATAATCACTACCGAGCAAGCTTATAACTTAAATTAAAAAATTTTATACATGCCACCTACAAACCAATTGAGACACTGCCCGAGCACCTGAAAAAGATGCCTCCAAGTCTAGTCCTAACTCTAACCATATCTAGGGATGGCAATCAGGTTCGCCGGCTTAGGTTGCTCGTGGCTTGGCCCGAAAAAAGCCCAAGTCTGCTTAGGTTGAGCCCCAGTTCGGGCCAAGCCCGAGCCGGCCCATGTGGCTCGCCAGCTCTAGCTCGGGCCTTTTTTTAAAAAAAATTCCAAATCAGAGACAGTCAGCTACCTTATAGAAAAAGAAAAAAATGAAAAATAAAAATAAAAAATCATGTTTGCCCAGCGCGGCTCGATAAGGCTCGGGTCGAAAGCTCGGGGCAAGCCTAAATTTCTTGGCCGAGCCAAAGCTTGGCTCGGATCGGATTAAAAAAGCTCAAATCATTTTACTTAAGTTAAGCCCGAGCCTCAAGTTTGAACTCGCGAGCCAACTCGACTCAACCCCCTGACACCAATGTTCCATATCCCACAACAGGGAATTTTTCCATTTCAGGCTTTTAATTGGAAAAGCAATTATAATAGTACTCAGCAGCTGCAAGATGTCAAGAAGGATAACGATTTTTCTGTCCAAAACCAAATGAACCCAATTCCTACTGTATGTTTAATTGTCATAGACCGGATTCAAATTTTCTGAATTGCTTTTCAAAGTTAGATTTTCTGATACAAATATTCAGCGACATCAAGCATGGGGTTAGCAAGAACCAGCTAAGCAAGATGGAACTGCTTTAAAATTTGAGATAAATTCTACGCAGAGGTTTTCCCTTGAGATTTCTAATGAATTTCAATCAGATAATAATCAGTACAAATCAATCTTCGCAGGCGAATAAAAGGTCATATGACGGGTCTAGTTGGAGGAAATATGGAAAGAAACAAGTGATGGGAAGCGAAAATCCAATAAGTTATTACAAATTACTTGTAGGCTTTTTTTCTTTTTCAGTTGTAAAGGGTGGCAAAGCTTTTGCGTGGTGTCTCAATTCGGTTCTCGGGGAAGAAGATGAAGTGGGGGCGAGATGAAAAATAAAATTTTAAATATTTGGAATCATAGATGACACTTATAAAAAAAAGGATTATGCTATATGTACTTACACTTTTGTATAAAAAGTTTTACTTACAATCACAATAGGGGTGGGGACCACACAGCCGGCATTTTTGAATTCATGTGGGGTCCGCATTTTTTGTGAGTGTGTGTAACCCATTTTGTCAAAGTTTGTGAGTACATATATATTAATCCTAAAAAAAATATTAATAATAATTAATAATAAAATTAATTTGTAAAAAAAAAAAAAGGTTTGGATACTACAATTGTAATTATTTCTTTTTAATTTTGGCATTTTTTTTTTTTACTTTTTTAACGGCAAATTTGACGGATTTTGAAGATAGAAGATTTTTCACACAATATTTTAAACATGAGGATTTTCTACGATTTTTAATGGCTATGGAGCATATTGCACATGAATAAGTTTGTAGAAATATATGTATTATTAAGCTTAATGAAATGGATGGTAAAATTTACTAATTAGGTTAACTAACTTTGATAATAGGTAATGTATAGATGGTATGGAGTTTTATATATGGTTCCCAAGGGTAGTTTAGGTATTAATAATTTATATTTATTCACTAATTAGTTTTAAAGGTGGTCAGTTGGCGAATATGATACTCAAATTAAAAAATAGAAAATCTAGTAATATTTTTAAAACTTCAAGTTTCTGTCTCTAATATTGTAAAAAAGATGAGCGATGTCGGGAGGACACCATTATATACTCAAAATTATGTATGTAGAGCATCTCCAATTTCAAATGACGAAATATTATTTGAATTAATCTAGTGGTACATAATGAGGTACCTAAGGGTGTACACCCCCTCACATGAGATGTGGGGTTCACCGGAATAAATGTTTTTTATTCTAATGGATCTCACACCCCATGTGAGAGAGGTGTACACCCTTAACTACATCCATATGTATCACTAGCACTACCGATATTATTTCTCCTCCTTTTTTCCCTTTCAAGAATTAAATTAAGAACTTTTATTGTACATTAAAATACAGTGTAACAAACAAATAATGTGCCACCAATATAATTACCCATTTATATATTCTAAATATGTAGACTTTTGATGTGTACGTTCTTTATGAGATGCTATATTAACCCACACTATAGTTTTCGTTCCACATCACTGAATTTACAGCAAAATTTCATCTTGATAACAAAGCCCTGTTTGCCCTCCATTTTTTCAAATACATTTTTTCAAAGCTAATTTTTAATTACACATTCTTTCGTAAAATAATTTTACATATAAATTTGAAATTTTTCCTTAGTTTTTAATCATATTCTTCAAAAAATCACTAATTCAAAACATATTTTTCCTCCAAAAATTTCATTTTAATGGAGCTCAAACAAGGGCTAAGCTTTAATTCATCTCCACAGGATCGTTTCAACCATAAAATTTTTTAAATTCATATATGGGAAACAAGAGAATCGTTTGTTTCCCTTATAGCTGGTGATCTTTATTAATTAAGTTTAAAAAATAAAGATTGCTTAAGGAGAAAACCTTGGGTGGGGCGGTGATACCATCCCATGCGGTATGCCCACCTATCATATAGTAACATGTGTACAATTTTAAATTAAAACTCCTTATGATTTTTTGGAAGATGAAGACAAAGAAATTTGATAAAGATGAGGTCGGTATAAAAGATCAAATATCACTATTTTAGGGAATTGCCAATTATACATTTTTTAATTAAGAATACATTGTGCCTATATCTTTTCACCTTTCCATAGCCGATTTCTCTCTCTCTTTTTGTATTAGTTTGTTTTACATTTCTCTATTTTTAAAGATTTTTCCTTTTTTATTTTTTTTCCCTAGAAAAGAGGCTAGAAATCCCTTTTTAAAATGAAGTTGTCTTGAATATAATTTCAAGCCAAATTAGAACACATACGGCAAGAGTTCTTAACAAATAACAAAATAGTAGTAACACTTATAATATACAATAATGTCAAAGCAAAAACACATTAAAGAAGAAGAAATTTAATATCTTACATATATAAAAGAGTGAAACTTTGGCTGGACACGTGTTGCAATATCCCATCGTCTTTCTTTTTTTCCTTTCATTCTGTCATTACTTCACGCAACCAT